TCCCTAATTTGTAAACATTATAATTAGCACAAACACAATTAAATCACTTGCTTTTAAAATTATTCTAATGACACCCAAACATCACAGCACAAAGCATTTACATTTTGTGTGCTATGGATAACTGTTGCTGTTTTGCAAATGTTTTGGTTTGGTTTTGTTTTTTTTCCTTTTAAAATGAATTAAACACCCGTTGGGCTCTCACACTGAAAAAGACCACATATGCTGTCTTAAATTGCAGCATTTGGGCATTGAAATCAGTCAGTATTATACAAAGCGGATTATCATTATTATGCAATGCACGAGCGAACCATAGACTTCATTGCCATAGGATGCTACAGTCTTTAGGATGCTATAGTCTTTACCACAGGATGCTATAGTCTTCAGCACAGGATGCTGTAGAATACTATAGTCCTTAGCACAGTGGTCTGGATTCAACCTGTTGTTCAGAAAGTCACCAAGTGCCTGACTGATAGAAAAATGGGATGGTACATGAAATTAAGTTCATTTTGTAGTTGTCAGCTTCTTTCTCTCTGTTTTTCAATTATCAGCTGCTGACTGCTGTTGGGGACAGGATGTTGGGCCAAGATGAGTTTCAGTCTGACCCAGTAGAGCCACTCGTATGTTACTGTCATACCTGTTTGTAGCTTTTCCAGTCAGCTTGATAATACTGCTTAGGAAGGTGGAACAAGCACTGCAATTATGAAATGGTTAATTCTTAACCTCAGAGATAGTGGTTATCTTACTTTCCTTCCCTTTCCCCATAGTGTAATGTGTTGTAGCAGCAGCAAGCATGAGCAGCTGGGAAAAGATCATCCCTACACCCAGCAAAGATCCCAACAGCAGAGCCAGAGGCCTCCCATGCCATGTGTGGGTGAAGATCATAGGTCATAGAATCACAGACTCATAGAACCATTTAGGTTGGAAAAGTCTCAAGATCACTGAGTCCAACCATAAACCTAACACTGCCAAACCCACCACTCAACCATGTCCCTAAGCACCACATCTACACATCTTTTAAATGCCTCCAGGGATGGTGACTCAACAACTTCCCTGGGCAGCCTGTTCCAATGCCTGACAACTCTTTTGGTGAAGAAATTCTTCCTAATATCCAACCTAACCTCCCCTGGCACAACATGAAACCATTTCCTCTCATCCTATCATGGTTACTTGGGAGAAGAGGCCGACCCCCACCTCGCTACACCCTCCTTTCAGGTCATTGTAGAGATCGATCAGGTCTTCTCTCAGCCTCCACTTCTCCAGACTAAACACCCCCAGCTCCCTCAGCCGCTCCCCATCAGACTTGTGCTCCAGACCCTTCACCACCTTTGTTGCCCTTCTCTGGACACGCTCCAGCACCTCAAGGTCTGTCTTGTAGTGAGGGGCCCAGAACTGGACATGGTGCTCGAGGTGCGGCCTCACCAGCCTTCATGGCAAGACTTCTCTTTTGTATATACTGTATTTCCAGCTCAAACTAACTATGCTATGAGGGTGTGCAGCCGGTGGGGATGGCAAAATTTGGAACTGTCTGTACAAAAGAGCCATGGAGGAAAGGTTGTTAGAAACTGTGTTTCCTACTTTCTTGGGCTCCCACAGTCTGGTGGCATGCTGCTGGCATGCAGGGGAAAACTGCTGTTGAACTACACTGAATATCAAAACCCCAACGTATTTTAAGCTCCAAAATTAAGACAGCTTAAAGAGGTTTGATATTCACTAAGATTCAAGCCTATTTAAGATGTCTTGAGTCCTTCAACCTACAAGCAAATCCTGTGTGATCACCAGTCATGTGCACCAGCAATCTGTGTAGAGCTGGCTGAGAAAAAGCCCCTGAAATGCTGTAACTGACAGTGTGCACACAAATGGCAACAAAAACAGGTTACTGTGAGCCATCCATACTGCTTCAGTAAGTGAAATAAGCTCTCGAGAGCAAGAAAGACTTCAGAGTGGTATAATTGTGTCTATAGGTTTCCCTGTGCAGCCAAGAAACCACATCCCATTGCAGATAATCAGGAGAGTTTCATGTAGACCTTACCTATACAGAGAAGGGGCAGAAAAAGGTTTTATTTATAATTATGCTGACCGATATGGCAGTCTGATTTTTGTTTCCTAGTAATTGAGAATTTTCTTCGCTAACAATCTGATTCCTTTGTTTGCACCATTTTCTTAGAATGCAGCTAAGTGAGTATAATGCACAGAGGAAAACCGTGTTTTACTCACTAGGATTTAGCTGCATTTACCTTTCTACTACCGATATACATTGATATGCTGACCATATTTATTTATAAATCTGCCCTGCTTTTTCCCTGCAGTCCCAGAAGCCAGTCTGCTGGAAAAGCAACAAACCTAATAAACATGGGCATGATAAAATCATCACTGAGAATAAAAGGAATCCTCCCAAATGACTTCAATCAGAGCTAGAGCAGTCCTTTAATTAACACAAAAATGCCTAACAAAAAGAAAGGGATAAAGAGAGAAATACGAAGCGTATAATCCTTTTATTTTCCAATTTATTTTTCCTTTCTGTGTTGGCACTGGAAAAACTGTGAGAAACTAATAAATAAAGCAAAAAACCAGTATGTAGTTTAGAAAACTCCATGTGTTGTATGTTGTGTTTTCTTAGTGTCTCACTACCTTACTGTCATCTCCCCAAATCAATAAAGTGAGGTCTCATCCACAGATATTCAGTTTGAGGTAATATCAAATGAAAATATTTTAAAATATGCATCAGTATCCTTGAAAAAGTAGACTCTTGAGTTGCTTAATATTTCTTTTTCAACAAATGAGGAAAAATGGTAAAGACAAATCTACAGAGTAGAATCATTAGGTTTGCGAGAAAGATTACTCTCGATATTAAAAATTCCCAATGATGACATGCCAGTTAAACAATGCATTTCACTTGTGAGCAAGCTGACAGTCATTCAGAAGAAAAATAACTTTTTAGGAATGATGTAAATTGCTCATTTCCACACCAATTTTTAAAGTAAAACAATCTAGTTACATGCTAGCCTATGTGTTTTAAAACACACACATCAAAAGTCTTTCAACACTCACAAGTTGAATGCCTAATGCCTGACAGGGATAGAAAGAAATTCTTGAAATTAGGAAGAGTATATCCATTAGCTGCCTCCCATACTTTATATTTAAACCTATAACAGTGTGACAGTCCCATTACACATGCCATCTGGTAAATGCCATCCACTGTCATTTGCAGATCTGAGAGTGAAACCTAATTTGTTCAATGAACTGCTGGGAGCTGACAGAAGCAGAGCGAGGACATCCTCTGCTCCATGTCTCCTCTCTCCAGAGCCCTTCCAAACCGGCTTTGATTGGGACTCCTGAGCCCTGGCACATTCTGCTACTTCTGTTCTTTAATCAGCGCTGATGAGCGCCTGTGTCTACTTGTCCCCCTTGGAAACTTTGCAAACGCTCTGCCTCTTGCTTACAGGATCCTGAGTGCATATAAGCATCAGGTGCAGGCTGGATTTAAACATTTGCTTATGCTCCTTGAGAATAAAAAACAAAGTGCTCCACTTTAAGAAAGTAAAGCAGATACCAAGCTGTTTTGCCCACAATGTGAAAAGGTAAGAGAGCACATACCCCATAACCTGGATGACTGTTCCCAAAATCAGGGGCAGGCCACTTTCCTGCATGATGAGGGGATGATGAAGATGTTGGATTTCTTCCCCCAGCCCCAGCTGCAGAGGGGTAGTTATAAGCACGGCTGTGATATGCACTGAGGTGGGGGACCTGGCACTGCTGCTCCCTGGCACTGTCACCTTCCCCAAAATTTTTAGGATTCTGGGTGGTACCATATGGGCTCTGTAACCCCGTTATCCCTCTCTGCATCCCTCTGGCAGGAGTGGGTTGAGGTGCACTGGAGTGCTATCAGCTGGAACTGTTTCACCTGGCTTGCAGGCTCTGCTCCCTTCTCCAGCTAACTCTGGTAACTTGGCAGCAGTTTTAATGCTGTTATTTTATTTATAGCTTAAGAGAAAGGACCAGAACTATTGACAGGAGAACTTCTATGTGTATAGACATACTCTATACATTCCCGGATAGATGCATAGTTAATCATGCTGCATAAATCTCTAGCTACAGAAATGAGATTTTCAATTAATACAGCTAAAAGTCTGGCTTTATCATAAGGCCTTTGACTTTAAAAACGTTACTGTCATTATCTATGCTAGAAGTAAATTAAGCCATATCACTATAATGACAAGGGCAAATTTATCATCAAGGAAGTACTAGCTGCCGTGAGCTGAAAGTGCACAGAAACTCAGTGCCTCAGTAATTTGACAAGAAAAAGCATTGGCCGTGGCTTGCCATCAATTTTTTAAGCAGCTTTCATTATTATTTCCAAGAGGGTTCTGCTTAAACACTATCAGAAAGAAGCAACTCTCGATATTTAGGTGGCAAGGTATCGATTTCCAGAATAAAAATGGAAAAACTTTGAAAAAAATATTTACCAGACATTTGTTTTGTGTTTGTGATACTTTTAACAAAATATTTCTTGTAACAAATATTTCTGATTATTTTACAAGACAAGTTACACTGAAGAAGTAAAGATTAGATTAAAAAATTAATTCCTGATGTTTGCATGATCTAAACAGCATAGGGAATTATATCAGTTAGAACTTTAAAATGAAAGGAGTTATTATAAAAAGAATATGAAAAAAAAGTTGCAAAAAAGGTAATCAAAGTTATAAGTGTTAAAAAAGGAAAAAAAGAGGAATTGTCATATTCTTCTCATCCATATTCTCAAAGGCTTCAATGTGGCAGATAATTTCAGACCAGAAGCTAAATTCACAGTGTGTAAACAATAAAA